GGTAATTGTCCCGGGGGTGATTGTCCGGGGGGTGAATGGCATGGGGGTAAATGGCATGGGGTAATTGTCCGGGGGTAATTGTCCCGGGGGTGATTGTCCGGGGGGTATTTGTCCTGACACCATTACATATTACATATACGCACACAGACACACACATTTATATAAATATAGACACATATTCATTCAGAATGTAACATTGTTCTCCTATCTGCTATATGTTGTTAAAATTGTATTTTTTAACATTTTTTTAAATGTGCTAAGTGAAGGCTTTCTTTTTGTGTCTATTGGTAGTTTATTCCATTGATTTATTGCCGCCTTAGTGAGTGAGTTGTGTCCATACATATTACTTGTTGTTATTTGTTTTAATTTAAGTGTCCTTGAATTTAATGTAATATTTGTCAGGTAAGGTAGGGGATTATTTCTAAGTGGTTTGTATAGATGGTGGTTGTATTTGTATATAAATATAAGTGTGTGGTATTTCATTAGGTATTCGATTGGAGGTACTTTTAGTTCCTCTCTAGTTCTAGCAGCTGCTCCTGTCTGTCTCTGTGATGTAGCGTTTTTGTATAGGAATAACCTGTTATAATGCGTAGAGCATAATTCTGCAGTGTGTTTAGTCTATCTAAAGCTTATTTGGGGAGATTTATAAGCAGTGTAGATCCATATATGAGATGCGACAGGCAGAGTGACGAGTATATTTGCAGCTTTGTGTTTGTGTGTAGTTGACCCCGTATCTCTGAGGAAGCTAATACTTGTACTCATCTTGTCTACTATGTAGTCAGTATGGTCATTCCACGTTAAATGCTGATCTATATACATACCTACAAATTTTACTGTTCTCGATTGTGGTATCGAGTTGTTACTTATTTCCAACTTGATGTTGACAAAATGAGTGACGTATGAATTGTAGTCAAATTAGTAGTTGTCCGCACCTGGCCCGTGAGAAGGGTTGCGTTGCATCTGATGTTACGTGCTGTGAACAGATACATAATGATAGAGAGAGCGAGAGAGATTGTAGTGATTGTGTAAAAGAGCGAGAGATAGCGAGGGAGCGGAAGAGAGAAAGAACAAAACAGCGAAAAAGAGCGAGCGGCACAAAAAGAAAGGCTATATATATACATACATACATATATATATATAGAGTACATAATAGGAGATCCTCCTATTCTCCTATTATGTAGTATATCCTGTATAGGAGATAAATTCTCCTATTATGTACTTTTGATATATATATATTATAGAGAGAGAAAGAGAGAGAAAGAGAGAGAGAGAGAGAGAGAGAGAGAGAGAGAGAGAGAGAGGGTGACAGAGATAGATGGAGAAAATGAGAGAAGGTAGTGAGTGAAGGAGTGAGTGAGTGAGTGAGTGAGTGAATAAGTGAGTGAATGAATGAGCGCGAGAGAGACATACAGTGAAAGAGGAAGAAAAGAGTGCGATATTGCAGTGTGAAAGAGTCCGTATGGCTTTCCCTGTGTTTGCACCTGCGTAAAATCACCCACGTAAAATCTGCTGTATCATGTTTGTATAGATTTTGTAGAACTTGGCGTAACTAATGGGACTTTACTTTTAACGGCCGTAAGGTGACGTAAGAGTTGTAATTCCCTAGCACAGTAGGAGGCAGACAGTAGCAGCTATATTCGTGACGTATGACCACAGACTAACGGATATATATATATATATATATATATATATATATATCCGTTAGTCTGTGGTATGACCCTCGCCCTGCCATATATCCTAGAATATATATCCTTTAAAATTCTGTACGACCGTTAAATATCCGTACCCGCTAGCACACTAACACTGCCAAACTAATTATAATGTCTATAACCGTAATGCCTCCTGCGCTCAAAAATGTTCCGTTCTTTCCTATTTCCATTCCTCGTTCATTCCATTCCTAAACGACGAATGCAGTTATAGCAAAGATTGATTGATGTAATGGAAATATATATTAGTGTTGATATGATTGCTGCAAACCTATCTTGCCTATATGTCTTATTTCGCCGACTGAAATTCTAACTATGCTCTGCACATTAAATCCAAATCCATGCAAACATACAATTACATCTAATCAGCAGAGGAGAGTCTTGTTCTAGAGACATTAACTGATAAAATCCAGGTCAGAGACACAACATACCCGTCGCTGATGCTCATTCAGTAATTTCGTGTTCTTGTTTTAATCATTTTTGAGTTAGAGGACTGTAAACACGATTGCCTAACGAACTATCTAATAACGAAACTCCGCGTAAACCCTTAAACGATTCTGAGTTGTTTACTCTTCCTTGCCTCTTTCGATCTCGTATCTCGTGTCACACATAACGATCTAAAAATCTGTGTGCGTGTGTGTGTGTGTGTGTGTGTGCATGTTTTTGTGTGTGTGTGTGTGTGTGTGTGTGTGTGTGTGTGTGTGTGTTTGTTTTGTGTGTTGTGCGGTGTTGTGTTGTGGTGGTTGCGCCGCACGTGCCGTGTTGTGTGTCTGTGCATGGGTGCTGCTCTGTGCATGGTGCGCGTGGTGTCGTCTCTGCTCTGTCTCTCCTCTCTCTCTCTCTCTCTCTCCTCTACTCATATATATATTTATTATATATATTATATATATATAAATGATATTACTATATATATATATATATCATATATATATATATATGGGCCTATCCCGGAGTTGATTAATCTAGACAGGACTTCTGGTTCTTAATCTGATTCCTGCTGTTAGCATCACTTAAAATTCATAGCCATATTCCTTTTTATTACCGTTTTCGCAGCTTTCGATATTATCCGAAAATCGACTTTATTATCCACCGTTTCTACACATTCTTCACATTATATAACTGAATTATCCACGGTTTCCACAATAGAAATAATATAATTAGATGAAACTATCTAGCATATATTTCTATAGTTTACACGTCTGCAACGATGGCCCCCTTTAACGGGATCAAAAAGATGTGGGCCCATTGTCAGCAGCATCACGCTTGGTCACTCGAAAATAACTGGGGACAAACACCGACAATTTTCGCAAATATCGGAAGAAATTGGAAATCGCCTGTGGATCATTTCCACGCAGAGTCAATATATTATTATCAACGATGAGTAACTCCCCCGGTAACCGGATCATCCGTGCTATGACCCCGCGCTGCAGTTTACCGCTGCGTGCTTGTGTAGCAGCAGCAGCTAGCAGCACAGGCACTTAATTGGACCGTTTCAATAATAAAATGATGGTTAATAAATACAACTTGTCAGTACTACTACTAGACCTACCGGTACCAATATCAGTAATAGTCTTAATGTTTGATTTGACTTAATAACTTTACTTCAACACCGTCCAATACACCGCTGCAACACATAGCGCGCACACCATTGTGCATGCACAAATATACAGTGATATAGAGTGTGTCACTCTATATCACTGTGTATTTCTGCATGCACAATGGCGTGCGCGCTATGTGTTGCAGCGGTGTATTGGACGGTGTTGAAGTGAAGTTATTAGGTCAAATCAAACATTAAGACTATTACTGGTACTGGTAGGTCTAGTAGTAGTACTGACACGTTGTAATTATTAACCATCATTTTATTATTGAAACGGTCCAAGTGCCTGTGGCTAGCAGGATCAAATGCAGGGAAGTGCTAGTATAGGCTGTAGTACTGGCACAGGAACCCGCATTTCTGCGCGCCCAAAAATATTAGAAATAGTCAAACATGTGCAACGCAGCATCAGAAGTGACTAAAAACAAGTATGTTTTTAGTCGGCTGTGTTTAGCTTACATAGCATTGCATGTGTGAAAGGCCGATTCCACTCTTATTAATCCAATTATGTTCTCCCAATTTACACAATGTTACACGTAATTGCATTTTTCTTCATTTGCTTTACTACGCAACACTGCATGACCGTCAATACAACGGCTATTAAATTAGGAGTTAATTAAGCAACAAAAGAATGCCACCCCCCCCCCCCCGACCGCCTCAATTCCTTGCCCGTGCATTGTCTTGCTTTGAGCTCTATGCAGGGAATCTACACTCGCCTCTGGTAGCAGTGGAAGCGCCGGGAGCGTATACGTATTCGTCCGTCGCAAGGATTCACATGGGAGCGTATTGGGATTGAAACGGCATGTCGATGTACTAGGTTGCCGTAAAATCGGTAAAATAGGCACCGTGGTGCGCGGTGGCGGGAAGAAAGCTGGCGAGTACCTGACATGCAAGTATCGCCCCTAATGGCACGCAGGAGGTCGCACGACTTTCTGCACATTCCGGCTTTGTAGTGCGTGAATCATGCTAACTGGTTAGCGCAATATGCAATCTCCGCATCCTTGTCAACGGCCAACTGGAGACGAATGGAAGACCGACAGAAAAAATGTGTCAGCGGAACTGCTCAAGAGCTAGGTACGAGGAATCGCAGGTACTTCGTAGCGCATCTTTACCTTCGTTCCTTCACGTCAGCTGTCGTCATCCAGCGATGATATGAACCAGCGCGTGAAAACAAAGCATGACCAGATAGCGATACCCTCGCGTCCGGTGTGTGTATATATACACACCGCACATAATTACAGCCAATTATGAAAAACAGCATTAGAATTACAGGCACCGGATATAGAAATAATTGTAGAAGTAATAGACATAGTCATTTACATGACTATGCAATTTTCTCCGTTATAAAACAGAGGCACACCAAACGTCTTTAATCGCAAGATAAATGATAAAATAATAATTGAAATAAAGGTCGAAATGGCTTCTTAACGCATGAAATGCTATGTCCTAATGTTGCTTCACTTCCCAGACACTACGCCAAACATAATGATGGCTCGCTAAAGTTATTGAACTGTAAATGATTGATGGAAGTTCCACTTCAACGCAAAGCAACCGACTGATACATGAGTATACGCTCCGCATGTGTGCTCGGTAACGGACAAGCTGGCGAGGGTTACTGTGAACTCTGAGCGTTCTGCGCTATGCCGATTACCTGCCGGCGGCGCTAATTAAACATTTACAAACACATCACATAACTAGTCTCAAAGGACGCTGAGATTGATGGCCGGCAGCCGTTCACTCTCAGGCGGCCGCGCCGTCTCGCCAGTGACCTTGATCCCACAGAGACGTTATCGTACGAACCCTGCGATCATTATTTTAAAGAAGAGAAGGGCAACAAACGATTCGATGACAAACACGCAGTTTATTACGAAACCGCTAGGCTTACAAAACCGTGCTATATACGTGCTATAACCATATACGAACAATCCTTTGCGTCATACAAAAACAGAAGACTCTACATGACAATAACGCGATGATGATGGCGTAATCCCGCCCCACGATCATTAACTCGATCATTAGCTATTAACGCGGAATTCGATTTTCAGAATTATGTAACGTATTACTACGCGATTTCACAACCCGCCAGCCGCCACGATCACAGGGACAGGTAAATACTCCACCAATGAGCTAATGACCTTATTTTTCCACCGATTAGTTAATAACGTGTATTTTTCTCTCTCGTGTTCTCACCCAGTCACCTACTGGTTGTCTACCACTGCTGTTTGCACCGCTGTAGCCACATTAATAAACCAGCAGATGTTACAAACCTGTGCGCGGCTATAACGACGATTCAAGTTTCTCAGTGACTACTACATAACACGCGCAACGTAGGGAAGATCGGCGTGCCACTACAAACAGTGAGCACACGACTGCCAATATCTATTCTTAGGCACTAACACATAGCCCCTGCGAAATCATGCCATTATCTACAATCAATAACCAAGCGTCTGCCTCTACCTTCTCCACACTTTCACTCTCTTTCTCTCTACCTGGATACGCAGGAATGGATCAGCTAGATCTGAATAAAGACGAGTAAGCAAACAGTTCTGATGATCATGATTTTGTAGAGGAAACTTAAATGTCCCAAATACCACTATATAGATTCCATATGTACAATCAAATTAATAAATTTCTTATCAATAGAATAACATATAGAAATATTTTAAGCATATATTATTCATGTTATATGAAAGGAATCTTACTCAGGTAATGGGGTCATTGGTTTACTGACCGATTACTAAATAACAGAGCCGATCTCACATAAATATGACATTACTGGATATTACTAATAATTTGATTTTTTCCCATCACAGATCATTTAAAATTGATAAATTGTACTAACAGTTGGCTGATTGCAGACAGAGACTTTGCCAGCACATAAGGCAACTGTCATAAAAGCATTTCACACATATTTAAACACATGTTTTAGCATTTTATTCCTATTGCCATACATCAGAATAAAAAGGTTTCATTCACCCTGGCAATGATTATGCTGGAAGAATTTGCATTGAATCTGTTCATTATATCTCTTTGTGTATGCTATGTAAACATGACAGAAAATTCCTGGTCTAGGAAATTTCTTCATCTCTTTGCTGCCTCACTGCCTTTTCGTAAATTCCTCTAACTCACCATTGTCCTTATTTGTCTCTCACTCCATCAGGTTCTCTATATTTCATACAGCACTGTTTACTGGTCATGAAGTTATATATGCATAATGCTGGTAGAGATCAGTGAAAAAAATACACGGGGGCTCGGGGCGATTTAGCCCCCGAAATGCCAAAAAAGCCCCGGAAATGCCAAAAAAAAACACCGGAAATTTGCATAGAGTTCAATGCAAACCAAATTTTAGAGTGCTATTTTCATGCACGCGAGCTTGAAAAGTAGCCCCCGAAAAATAAATTTGTTTCCTGGTAGAGATGTTCTTTTTACTGTAAATTCCTTGGGTGCTTAATTCGTTACATACAACACAATGTACGTATTACACTACCACTACCAACTAAAGTATTAACCTAGTATTAACGATTAAAGCCAAGAGGCAAAAATAACCACGAAACAAAAGCAAATGTGTAATGTACATGATGCTGAATAACAATTAGATTAGCCTATTACATTATTTGTATGAGTAAATCAGCTGCAAATCAACATTCGAGTTGCATAATTTTTTACTTAGAAAATGGCGTTATCGTTTATATCGCATTACAAACCAGAATGTATCACATATTGGATTGTGGCATGTGTACTGATTCACCACGTAGTGCTAAGGCATTAACTCTACTGTGGCTAATGCCAGTAATTGCTTTAGATGGCTAGAGAAATAAAACATGATAATACAAAAAAAAGTTTAATCCCACTAACCTTTTCCAAGCAAATCCGTTCACCAATGTCTGGTGGAAAGTTGCCCCGGGCGACTACCAGGTCATTCGTTGTGACTTTCAGCTGGCGGCCAGTGAGATGAACAACAGCAAAGAGCTGTCCAGGAATTGCACACGCCTCCTCTGTAACTTTCTGTAGCACGTCTACAATGGTATATATATTTACTGACAGTTGTCACAAAGTGGTATGTTTACAATAATTTGCTAAAGTCTAGGTGGGTAGCCACAATTGTATTCATTGAGGTAAACCGAGTAAAACAATTATGCAAGAAACGTGTTGCAGAAAACAAGCTGTGGTGCAACCGCGTTATCCTGTTCCATATCACGAAGCGTCCAGAGAGACCGGGTACAAGATGGCGTTGCGCAAAAGATGCGTTGTTCCCCGACCGCCGATTGATGCCTGTCCCATATTCTCTCATCGTGACCCATGCACGGATAGAGAGATGGTATAATCAGAGACTGGTAGTGCATAACACGTGCTCGGATGACGTAGATGGGACTCTCACTGTTCACATGATAGGTGTAGACTGATACACCCAACCGCGGAACAGTCGATCGTGGGCATCCAGGCTTTTGTGGTTCTGAAAGTCCTTGAGAGTATAAAATGATCTCGGCTAGAATGTTAGGTAGTCAATTCACGAGATCCAAATAAGTACGGGATGGGCACAAGTTGTGTCCTCGCTCCATTCTCGTACGGGTGTCGATTGCCAATGCACGAAATTTTCTCGAGATAGCGTGCATTGGCTACGTTGTCTAGTGAATCAAAGTACTTATCCATACTACGTACACTACAGACAGTCGACAAACGTGCATACACAAGCTATTATAAAAAGCTGCATTTGATAGCTAGAGTAGATGCAGTAAAATCGGTGAAATTTCTGAACTCTCACGATGTAAACAAACTCAAGTCTATGAACATAATATGTGATGCGTGCAATCTTCTGATCTGCTCAATCTACGAATCTGCCGACTGTGTGGCAGCCTCATTGAACTGCAGCACCTAAAACCCACGCTGATAAACCTGTCTGGTAAATCGGGATCCTCTTACTTCTAATATCTATTGCAATAATAACACTATAGCCAATGTAAAATCGGTCGATTGTGCAGAGTGACACATTACACGAGACGCGTGTTCGCTCTATTCGTAACCGATATGGCCGCCGGCACGGGATTGTAGGTAATATTGCTATTTTTAGACCAAATCGCGGAACCCTCTATACGCTGACGGTCGATTATTAACAGTATTTTGTAAGTGAAATCGCTGAAGACAGTGTTAGTGACGGAACAAAACACGCTTCGTGTCTAAGCCGCTCGATATCAGCTGCGTAACGGAGTGAATAAGTTTCTGTAATCAAGAAATTTATTTTTACATAGGTGTAACGTTGAATTATACGTTTGATGTAGAAATGATGAAGTAGAAATCCAAACTTGTGTTTTAAACTGCATAACTTTAATATCTGCTCACGTCACATCTCCTTGCACACAGAGACAAAGACACGCGCACACGCACCTAAGCGCGTGTGCTTTCTCCCGCGACCACAACCAGCCTCCACGACTCCTACATCTCTGTCCTATATATCACCCCCAAAACCCCTACATCCTGAGCGCACATGTCACCCGTTCTCCCAGACCGCGTCTTACCCCCATTTCACAATGACCCTAGAAACGTCCGACCTAACCCACGTTTACCATTCTCCCTATAACATCAATCTAGCCGCACAAGATGCGCGACGCTCTGTCTACATAGACTACCACTTCTAAAGCATATGTTATTGTTACACAGGCATTCTTGAACATCGACGAGACAGTGTGCTAATTACGTTGTCACTTTCATTTTCAAGCAAGTTTTCACTTCGGCTGGCGTGACAATGGTAAATTCATCTTCTCTGCATACATCGCAATAAATTGTTTCTGACGAAAAAAAACACTAATAAAAAAATTGTAAGCCGTCAAGCTGTGCAACCAAAAACAAAAGAACGTTAATAGTGCTTTAACTGACACAAATTACTATGACTAGGGGCTAGAGAAAGACAGAATGCCCTTGGGCACAGATGTGTCTAGCAGGACGCATGGTGCACTGCAGATGCACACGGGGATTTCACCGTTACCGACCATATGTAGGGTAAGGTTTGCCAATGGGGAAGGGGATCTTCCATGTTACACCAGCACCAGTTTCAGTCCCGTCACTCAGACAAACCTAGGGCCTGGCCTGCCAGCGAGCCGTGCGCAGTGAATATATTGCAGCACTCATACTTACACTTGTGCTTCCTGAAGCGCTTCCGTTTCTTGAAGTGGAACCAGAAGACGGTTTGTCCAATTGTCTTCTCCAGGACAGTCGCCTCCACCCGCACCTGGGACATACTGAAAGATACATGGCAAAGATTACACACCCTGAACGCACTGCTAAGTAAACGCACAAGAAGAGAATTAGAGTAGAATTCCAAATGTAAATTATTAAATAACTTCAAAAATTAAAACAAACAATATTTCAAGTAATTAGTTTACATAAAAATTACATTTTAATTATTTTTCACATGAATTCCACAAATATATATATATACGATTCCTCGGCAGCAAATAGGCAAATAAATGCAGTCCCCAGGCACTATACTGGTCCACATTATGTTGTTTTGTTGAGAGAAGCAATTGCATGGAAGCGTTTACATCAAAATTGAATGCACTATCTTTGAACGTTTTACGAAACTGCCACACTGGTGTCTTTTATAGAAATATATAACTAATTTCGCATTTGTGAGGAACTTTTGAAGACATGACAGACTTATCCACAGCTCTATCTATCAGTAGAATCCATAATCTGTCAATTTAAGATGAAGAACATTCAAAACTCTTTGAGGGAAAAGACAACATTTAACACGAGTTTTTTTTCCCATTAATGTAACATTGATTTTCTGTGTGATCACAATAATTATATGCACGTACCAGTACATGCATATACACGCATATTTATTTAGTATATACCTACAGGGATGTACACACGTGCGCCCGCACACCAGGGGCGTAGCCAGGGGTGATTCCAGGCATTCCGGAATCCCCCCTGGTTTGTATCAAAATAGCACATATCTGATACAGTATGTATATAAAAGCATGAAACGAAAATTTTAACGAAGTTTTATTAGTATATAGTAGGTTTGGAATCCCCCCTCTTGTAAAGAATCCCCCCTCTTGGAAAAGCTGGCTACGCCCCTGCACATGCATACGAATATAGGTACACGCATGCACGTGCACGCTTAATGACACAAGGACGCACGCATGCACAAGTGCGTACCACACACACATGCAATTACGCATGCACGCCATAACTACGCAGCATACACGCACACTTGTATCCCCACTACTCTCATCAAATTTTCAATGTCGATAATTTTACAGTTAAGAGTTCATGTGAGCCTCTATATCGTTTATTAGCAACATTTGCAAATACAGCTATCATCTTTCTACTTGGCAGCACATCGTTATTACATGAGAACCTATTTTTTCGTGATGCATCAGCATTTAATATTTTTTTTAAGTCTCTGTTGAGGTATTTAATAAATTATCTGTATTTTAGAGGTATTATATTTACGTTTGATTGCTACTGAAATGTACAAATTGTTGGATGAACAATGACATATTTTAAAACAACTAATGTAAAATTAATTGGTTCTCGATAGCTGAGCTCTCATTATAATTGAGTGCAATTGAATTTTTACTGAAGTTCCAGCTTTACATATGCGTGTGCATCAGTCCCGTGTGTGTACAGCTACGATTACGTTTGCAGGTTAATCCAACTCTACATAACACATGTAAGCACCTGGGATCCTATCCTTCTTAAAACTTAAAAACTATAGATGCCAACACAACCGAGCCTAAAAACGAATACTAGAAGAACATGCATGCATAAATCACTAATAATAGAAAATGGTTCAAATAGAAAACTCTGCGAGTGATCAGTGAATTGCTATCCAAGATATTTCGCATGGAAACTTCTTAAATGAATTATCAGCAGTAGCTTCACTTTGTAAATGAAAATTCATGCAATATTGTTAGCATGACTCTAACTCACATTTGTTCGGCACATCAATTACGTGTCTACTAAATTAGCAAGAATCTGAAGTGAAACTAAAAACGGCCTTCCACTTATACATGGGTGATTTGTAAATGGAAATCATGTTGGATGTGATGTTCCACGTCTTTCCTGTGCACTACTAACTCAACTCGCACTCTCACTGCCTAAACATAACGTTGGTCAAACAGTAAAGGTCAATTGCAGTGAAATTTGCTGAAATTTGGCAAACAGCTAGCAAAGAGGAGAAGGTAGAAGTGACAACCATAAATTCTCAAACCACAGAGTTTTCTAAGAACATAGGTGCACCAGCGAGAAAATAATAGGGGGGGGGGTGTACGTACCCCAGCTATATCAGCATATATGATACAGTTTTGACTTAGGTATACCGCCGTCTGACTGTCTAAAGAATGAGAGTGCTGGACGCTTTTGCAACAGGCATGGGTGATAGTGTGAATGCCAGGCATAGACATCTACTGGTGGGTGGCCCTGCCCAACGCCACCCACTGTGGGGACATTCCTGCCCTTACAGTGGGCATAGTTAAATTGACGTGCTAAAACCGCAATGATCACGAGTAATCTATAACCAACCATTTACTAGTGCAGTTCACTCAATTCTGGCTTACCTCAGTAGCGGCCGGCCCAGCATGGTGAAGCTACTGCCACCTATGAGCAAAACCTGCAAATATAAAATTGATGTGTTAATACCAATAAATACCGACGTCGTGTACATTTCCTGCATATGTCCATGAGGATAGAGGTATACAGTTGATGGTCTGAAATGATGGCAGTGGCATCTATCCACATCACTACATCATGAACATAGCAGTCAAAAACCGGGGCACTTGTGATGCACAGGAATGTGCAGGATAAACTATATCTTTACAGAGAAATGAGATAGATGAGCTAGATTTGTATGCAGGAGAACAAATGAAAGAGTTCTGGATACAGAGCAAGGATGGATGAGCTGCACCTGGATACAGAGCAAGGATGGATGAGCTAGCTGGACCTGCATACACTACGCCCCCTCTCTCTCTCTCTCTCTCTCTCTCTCTCTCTCTCTCTCTCTCTCTCTCTCTCTCTCTCTCTCTCTCTCTCTCTCTCTCACAACCACACGCTATCGCACTTTGTTATTTTCCTTTCCTTTATCTTTCTTTCTTTCTCTAACCTCTTCTCTCCTCACCGCCACGGTACCTGTCTGGTTACGCTCTCACACAACGCTTCACCAAGATGTTCAGGGCGCGCGAGTACACGAGCAGCGCGCGCGCCGCACGCCACGTGACATGCTGAGCAGACGACGAGGCGCTGGCGGCGTGCGACCCCGTCCTCACGCTTCCATCAGCGACCCCGGCAGCACGTCGATAGCGTTGATTCGCAGGACGCTGTACGGTTGCCGAATGACTGCAAGGAGAAGAAGAACGAGGGCGCGAGATGAGGAGACGCCGATCGACTGATCACGCGACGAGAGCGCGAGCGAGCGAGACAACGCGAGCGCTTGCAGCGATCCTCGCGGCTAACCGCTCAGTGACCGCGCCTACTGCCGAGACGCGACACGCGGCAATCACGTGACGGCTAGCTGCGAGACGGCACGTCGCGATCACTGAATTATCTCTCTTAAGTACTTTTACTCGCCAAAAAAATCGCGTTTCTTTCACCGGTTCCTTCCGCGTATTATTACGTTAGAAGTTGCCTCGGCTCGGAAATACTGGCTAGGGTTGCTGTAAATTTAAGGACTCAATTAGGGACAAGAGGGTCTCCGAGGTTAGCTGCGAAGTTGGCGAGCCGACACACGAGACAAAAAACTAGTTGACTAATTTTTACTGATATAATATAAAGTATAATAAAGTATACATTCTACTAAATATCTACAATAAGCATGAATATTGAACGCTTCAAATTACTACGTAGGGTCAGTGGTTTCTTATCCTACCGCCTATGCTCACGACACACCACTAGCTCACACACGATTTCGCTAGCTAGCACTTCTGTCGGAGTTTTTACCAATAGAAACTTCGGTTCCCGTATTCAGTGACTTATATTACGGACTTATTATTACTTACAATTATTACTTACGTGACTTATTATTACGGACAATGGCTGTAGCGCGGTTGCAAATAATCTCCCATTTGCGGCCAAATCAAGTTAAAATGTTTCCATAAATCAGGTTAAATTACGTCGGGAAATTACAATGCCTCCCCCCCCCTTTGCATTGCCAATGCAACGCACAACATATTTTGTTAATTAAAATGTTCTTCCAAAAGATTCTCGCGAGACAGACGAATAAATGAAAACACAGCGTATTTTCACGCTAATAGCGTAGGCTTAACGTGCGACTCTTCTAACCGTGTTACGTGCACGCACAGAAAGTGCAGCGCGGCCTGATCTATTTCAATGCATTCTGTTCGAAGTAAAACATAATAATAACTAGAGCACTCGGAGAGCGCAGACCTCCGCCAAGGCAGCTGAATTCTCTCACTCTGAAATTTTTTATTAATTAATTAAATAATTAATTGGATCCGGATCACCACGAAAATGTAATGAATTCTATGAATTCATGAATTCTATGAATTTTATGAATTCTAATGTAATGAATTCTAAGTTATCCCATTTCTGACCTATCCTGAAAATTTTATTAATTAATTAATTAATTGGATCCGGATCACCACCAAAATGTAATCAATTCTAAGTTTGTTAATAAGGCAATATACATCAATGCTGCCGCAGCCAGGCACACAAGCATGCACTTGCAGCGTTTCAATAAAATGTAATGCTAAATAAATACAAAATCTATTTACTACGAAAGTCACCGCGGCGCAAAAACTCCCCGAGCCAGGTTTGTTGGATATAGCATTTCGACCGTGCCCGGCCGCCACGTGAGCGCGGGGGAGGAGGGAGGCTGGAATGTCGCGCTCCGCCGTCTTCGTAAAAACATGTGCATATATATATTTGTGTGCCAGTGTGGTGGCGTATTGTAGGATTAGCTACGTGTAAAAACTGCCACGGCCACGCCAGCACGTGCTCGCACGACGTGCCGTCGCCACGGGCAGCGCGGGGTCAAGAGGTTGATAAAAACCTCGCACGTACGGAGCCAGGCGCTTTTGGAGATAGATAGCATCTAGACCGCGCCAGCCCACGTGGAGCGCCGTACACGTCTTCGTTAAAACCTCTGTGATAGACGTAACGCTACACTCGGCAGAAGCGCACGTCATCGCGTAGCGGCCAATGAGCGAGCGCGTCATTGCTGATTGACAGCATTTCTTGGAGTTTCTTGTAGGAGCCACTACGTCTTAGCCATGAGGCGCGCCACCCCAAAAAAAGTTTAGGGGCCGTTTGGAGATGGCCTCAAGCCGTCCATCCTGAAATGTCGGTTGGATTGCGCCCAGTTTTCGCGGAGTGCGTTTTCAGACCCCTGTCTCAGATCTGTCTAAGCGGACAAAAAGGGGGCGGCGTATTCGCGTTGGGGCGCGGCTTCGCCGCGAGCTGTGCGCTGCGCGCAAATACCGGGGCCGCAAGTCCGTCTAGAATTGATACTGACAATGGTAATGAATTGACAGGCAGGCATACGTCTTCCTGTTGTGTCCATACGGAACAATCACAATTCATAAATAGTGATTTCCACTGAAAAATGCAATCACTGCTATCTATATATATCCACAAAATCAACACAAGCAGTATCGTTCATTATTAAATTCATGACTACAAAATTAACACAAATTAAATCAGCTCAATCAATACTGATCATGACAGATAATGATCGAGCCCATCTTTGACAGATGAAGCAACTTTCCAACTCGTTAACAGATGGCACTGATGCACCATCTCTAGAGTTCCCTATCAGTTCCGTGTCCTATGCCGATGTTCCAGATGAGACACAGAATAGCATGTACCTCATAGGTAAAAACAGTAGAAGATATTAGCCAAACCTTGTCTCGTCACACGTCCGACACTTCTGCTGCCTCACATCCAACTCCTCGCCAGCTCACACACATGCACCGCTCAAACGTCGTAGCACCCGTTGCAAGCGACATGATACATTTTTTGCTGTTTCTATGATGTTATTTCATTGGAATCTACATCAAGGAGTTATTATTTTCCTCTTTGCACTTACATTAGTCAAAATTACGATACTTTTCATTAACATTCCCCAGGTGTATAGTCATACATTATGACTTTAGAAAAAATAACTAACATGTACCTTTGGTTTGCTCTACATCATTAACTTCCATAGGATTCTCCTCCAGTTCAGGAACGGTAACATGGTATTCCTCTCTAAATCTCTGCCTACAAAAATCACAATTTAGTATTATAATTATTAAAACATAATAGCCAGAGTGCACATCAATTAAACCTGAAATTATATGTAGATTATATGTATGATTGTAGATACATACAACAATCTTATAATCATAGTTCAATGTTGAATTTTTAATTTTCAAATAAAAAAATATCTGAACGTTTCTAATTTGGCACTCATATTATATATATATATCGCAATTTGAACTAACATGGATAATATGGGTTATCCTCCCTTTCATTATCACAACTTACCTAGCGAGCACAGAAGATGAGGTGCTAAGTGCTTTACATGACAGACAGAATGTTGGTGTCAATTGAGTTCGACAGGCAGACACAATAAAAAAACTCGGAATTTGTGACTTTCCTACAAAATAAATATCTAGATTACATGGTTTAGTTAAAGATGCAATAAGTTTAGCTAGTTGACATGGCCAAATAGTACAATATTGCACTTTGAGTCATACTGTCCCAGCAGTATATATATAGTTTATAATAACAATAACATGAAAACATATTACGTTTTACTTTTAACACGATAAATAAACGGAAATATAGTATCTTGCCCCCTGAATTATCAGTCTTTATATTTTGGGATACAGGGGGGATTTCCAGAGTTGGGCACACCTGTGCAAGTGAACAGGTAGTCATAGACCACACTTTAAAGGTCAAGACACACTTCAGTGATGAACGACTAACCATAACGTTCAAAGTCAAACTCACAGCAATAGGCAGATACACTGCAGGGGGCGGTTTCACAAAGCGTAATTAAGTCCTTAATCATGATTAAATCACTAATCATGATTAACCTCCCGACTCCTGTACATAAATTGAAGTGACTGTTTCACGAAGCGTTCAACTTTAATCATGATTAAGTTAATCACAATATTTCATTCTACTCAGGGGCATGATTAAATCCACTAATCATAATTAGTTGCTAGTACTAGTATGTAGGTAGTGTAGTAAGTAGGCGGCAGAATTTACAATTGAAAAGTTTACTTCCATTTTTTCCAAGGAAATTTACATTTTCTAAGATTAGCTGTACTAATTTAGTAATTATAATTGCAAATTAATTCCTTTTCAGGTACCGTATTCCAGGTAGTTTTGCGATGTCTGCCATTTTGAATACAGTGTAATTCATGTTTAAGTCGGCTAATTACGTACTTAAGTCGGCTAATTATTTGATTAGTTAAATATGTACTTAAATCGCTTCGTGAAAGATTTTCAAGTATGATTAACTAATCATAATTACCGAAGGATAATCATGATTAGTAATTTAATCATAATTAAAGTTAATTACGCTTCGTGAAACCGGCCCCAGGTGTTAATGACTGCTGTTAGGTGAAAGTTAGTCCCCTTTGTCGCTACACAATGGCAGGCATATTAGGTTTGTAAACTTGAGACCATTGAATATTACGTGGGCTTCATTTGCTCTGTTGTCCTGTGCTAATGGTAGCCAAATATGTTTGTTGGGCAACCTTTCACAATAAATGATCCAAATCTTATAAAACCGAATTTCCCCTGAGGGCATAAACTGGTCTGTGATCACAATCCTTAAACAGCTGAGCAGCCAAATTTCGTTACAAAATGTTTTTGTCACATGCTGATAAAGACGTTATCTAGGGCTGTGATTAGCTGTTTATGAAGTGTTGCACAACAATGTCGCGTGAAATTAGAAACAATTCTAAATATTTGTCTCGTTATGGTTGTCGTTAGCTCTAGAACTATAACCCTTCGCTCTGCCACAAGCAGAGGTTCCTGTGGCACAGCGAAGGGATATAGTTCTAGAGCTAGGTTGTCGCCAGATGTTAGCGCCTGTGTGCGCAACAGCTCATCAGAAACAATAGTTTCAATTTTTTTTAATGTCATTAGACGTTATGGTTGGTCGTTGCTGCTGCAGTGCGTCTTGACCGTTAGAGTGAGATTGTGTTATACAAACTATGTATGAACATTTAAACAGAATTGGTCTGGCATTATTACTATCACTATTAGTACTGGGTGACACAAAGATGCATATTATAACTTGTACAGTTTTTGTGGTATTAATAATGTGGTTGTGAAAAGCATTAACACAGTATTAATTGCATCGTTGTAGATAAAATTATGTTATTGAAATAATAGGGATCAATCCTAGTTTGATCTAGTTTGAAACTACAGAATCGCGAAAACTAGGCAAAAAAAAAACAGGTGAGTCAGCATAGCCTCGTTAAAGTTGATCAACCTCGCAGCTAAATGCATATATATATATATATACCTACTGTGAGCTTGCATATATTGCAAAAATTTACTACAACTCATTTGTATTGCTACTTTCGTAACATTTCTTCCCAAAATCTAAACGAAATTACTTCTCTTACGAACGTGGCACCACAGTGATGTTTACACTTCCTGGACACAGCAGAGCGATCGGCTCGATTCAGTAACAGTTCCTTTCTATGATAAAACAAGTTATAATTCATTATTCGATGTTTATTCAGTACAAAATTGTAAAATTTGTTTAAATCATATCGTTATCTATATTACTTACGCAATCAAGAAACAAATATAGTGTTTTCGTTCCAGGAACTATTTGCACTAGCATAGGGCTACTGCTAGCTGTGTAACAAAACCGCCTCCAAGAGTTTTCAAAATAGTCAACTTCGGAGCACATTTCTGGCTCAATGAGAACATTTCGTGATGTTTGCACACTGCAAGTATGCTCACAGTAGGTCTATATTTAAGCTTTTTGTTGCGAGGTTTACCCATTTTAATACAATGCCGTTTTGTTCCGCCTTCATGCATATAAATAAGATATTTCTTGGTAGACATAATAGGCAAGACACTGAAGAAGAGCTCTGTTGATTTGATAGTCTTTAACCCCACATTTGCGAAAATGAGGGCCGGAGACCCAAACTAGGATTGTACCATATTATCAGGAGTAAGATAATATAGGCAAGCTTATATATTATCTTTAATATATTATCTTACTCCTGATATTATTAATCTGAATTTGTCTACTTTTACTATTTGTGTATTTTACAATTTGTGTATTTTACTACTCTGAATCTGAAAATCTAATCTGAATCTTTTTACCCAACAACGTATTAGCTAGCGAGACGTGCAGCCGTGATTTGCACGGTCAGTTTTAAAACTGCACGGCCAAAAATGTGTAGCACGGCCTTAAATATTGATCTAAAGCCGTGTACATTGTAAAAATTGCACTCCCAAATATTTTTTCTGCACTCCCACAATACTCATTCATGGCTAATACCATAGTACCCAATCGCCGGATCGGCTTAGCTCTAGTACTATAGCCCGCGAACAGTTGCCGCAGGGCTATAGAACATTCTATTCTGAATGCTAGGGACCAACTTATTCATGGTTACTTGCGGCTATAAAACGTCTGTAGTAGGCAATTAATGCCTCTTATCCAAAGTGAATATGTCTTAAGTTATATCAGCTACTAAAATTTAACCTCTAACTATCGTTGAAATGGTCTGCTTGCGGTATTTCTTGTGAACGAACATTATTTACGAACTTCAAACAGCTATTTTTGGTGGCCCTGCAGCAACGCCAGTCAGCGGGTTGCTCCCTAGCATTCGTAATAGAATGTTCTATAGCCCTGCGGCAACTGTATGCGAGCTATAGTACACATGCGTCTAAACAGAGGAATTGCTCCGACCTGTGATTGGAGGATAAAAATTGAATTCGTGACGTCACGTTTTCATTTTTGCATACCCGCTGCATAAGTTATAGATATATTATCCTATGACCGGTAGGAAAGTGTACTAACTATCATATGGCGCGAACGATTTGAGTTACATTTCTATAAATCCTAGCTATTATAGACACATGTGTTAGCCTTAATCTTTGTAAATGTCTATTGAAGCTGGATTAGTCTAATTAATTAGCAAATATGCACACGCGCCACGCCAGGGCTCGAATTAACCGACGGCACCGACGGCAATTGCCGTCGGTGCCCTTATCAATCGCCGTACTGCCCCTGAAAATCCAACCCGACCGACGGCAGTCACCTGCCTTGCCCCTTTTGTGTAATTGCTGTCGGTGCCCTTTAATCTACTGCCCTAGTTTCGTTTTTAGTCGAGTCAACATAACACGTGCGCGGGCGTGCTGTAGTTGCAATGATGAGCTTAAAACCGATAGTCGCAGGAGGGAATAATAACAGCATCAGATAATTATTCGCTCCTGATAGCGGGCATGTAAAATTTCTTGTTACTGTATTTCCATTAGCAGAGGGGGGTACAGGGGTCGGTGTTACAGTGTAAGCTTACATGGGGGCATATTGTTTTGTACATTAAAAGCAAGACGATGTTGATGTACTAATTTGTTATGAGATTTCCTTTATTTTACAAAAGTGCCTTTGTGCCCTTCTCAAATTTTGAGAGTTGCCTTGGTGCCTTTTAAAATTGCCTCTGTGCCCTTCCATTTTAGAGAAAATTCAAGGCGATTTCTCACATGCCCTAAAAAAATTGCCTTGCCGTTCTCGTCGCTTAATTCGAGCCCTGCGCCACGCGGTATCGCTCATAGGCTAATATACGCGCGGCTATGGCCCGTAGGAAAGTGTACCAACTACTAACTATCATATGGTGCGAACGATTTGAGTTACATTGCTATAAATTCTAGCTATTATAGACACATGTCTGACTCTTAGCTATGATCCCTTTGAGTCTTGAGTTTAATGAAAGGCGATTAGCTTAATTAATTAGCAAATATTTACGCGCGGTATCGCTCATACTCGAGTCATAGACTAAGGCCGATGAAAGTTGATGTCATGGTTCTCGTCAGCGCCCGCATCAAATTTTACTCCCGCACCAAAAAAGTCCAACACTCATCGCTGACGAAATTCCCGCATCAAAAAGTCCCCATATGAAATTCCCGCCTCAAAAAATCAACAATCTACAGTCAGCACTACATGTATGGAAGACAAACAGTAAAAAAATTTGTATAAAAACTGTCAACAAAGAAGTTATGACATTTTTCAATCTTATTTTGCATATGTACAAGACCTGATACCCTCACTAAGTTCTATTGGCTTGTATATGAAAGACGAATGTTGATCTAAATCCCTCATCAAAATCTCAACAATGCCTGACGAGAACCATGAAATCAACTTTCATCGGCCTAAATGCCAAAATGGAAACGAAACGTCACGAATTCTATTTTTATCCTCCAATCACAAGTCGGAGCAATTCCTCTGTTTAGACGCATGTTATAGTACTACTACTAGTACTACTACTACTAGTACTACTACTACTACTAGTACTAGTACTACTACTAGTACTACTACTACTAGTACTACTACTACTTAGACTACTTCTACTAGTACCACCTTACTAGTACTAGTAGTACTAGTAGTAGTAGTACTAGTACTACTAGTACTACTAGTACTACTACTAGTAGTAGTATAGCTATAGTACTAGTACTACTAGTACTACTATAGCTCTAGTACTATAGCCCGCAGGATCGCTGCCGCAGGGGCCGCCGCAGGGGCCGCGATCCTGCGGGCTATAGTACTAGAGCTAGTACTACTAGTACTATTACTAGTAGTAGTATAGCTATAGTACTAGAGGGATGCCACTAGGGACAGCGCGTCTCCCAAGTCCGAAATAGTAGGTTTCAGGGGAGAGATAGTGATCCGCTAGATGGCGCGTTATTAATTAACAATTAATAAAATCAGTTAACCCTAACCCTAACCCTAACCCAAATCCTAACTCTAACCCTAATCCTAACCCTATCCCTAATTAAAAATAATAATAATAAGGCCCTCTAGGGAGAGAATTCGGTACCATGGGAGACGCGCTGTCCCTAGTCGCAGCTGTACTAGAGGCGAGCTACTAGTACTAGCATTACTACTAGTACTAGTACTAGAGGCTGAGCTAGGATCGGCTAGACCACTGCCACTGGCACTGACCAGATCATCCACGGCAATAGCTCTAGTACTAAAGCCCGCTTACATTAACTGCCGCTGGCCAGCGGCAGCGGCCAGCGGCAGTTAATGTAAGCGGGCTATAGTACTACTACTACTACTACTACCACTACTACTACTACTAGTAGTAGTACTAGTAGTACTAGTACTAGTACTAGTAGTAGTAGTAGTAGTACTAGAGCTACCACGGCAATAACCCGACCAGGCTGTGTGACTAACGTCAATACACCTATTACTACAGGTATTCTAACCCTAGCAATACCGTTTCTTGGAGCTACCACGGCAACAGCAGTGTCAACACCACACAACGAACACATTGATGTGACTAGTCTAAAGTAATAGCGCGTACATGTGTTTTTAAAATCGCCGCTTACGTAGACATAATATTTACCGATTATATTTAAACTCAAGATATTCCTTAATCCTACGAAATTTACAAAACAACGACTAGCATAAGTTTTCATGGCCGCCGCCATCTTGGTTTAGTGTTACAAACGGTGGTGCCCTCTGCTACGAATCTGTGCCCCATTTGAAAACAAAAGCGCACATGTTTATGATATTGCCTGATCTATGCCTATTACTATTAGTATTATATGGTTTATCTCATTCCCGTGAGTTTTCTGCAATATTTAACTATTTAAAACATTTATGAAATAGCGACTACGTTACCGAACATTATGCACATGTTTGGCGAATACTTTCTACTTATTGTTGTTATACTTATACTTATAACGTCTAGTGATATTAAGTTAAAGGGAGAGTTTACTCTAGGTTCTAGGGTTATTTTCAGCTAATTTAGGTTATAATTAGGCAGTGGCTACGGGTACGCCAGCCGTATCTTAATGTCTCGAGGCTACGGGTACGCCAGTCCATTGGCTTTCATACTTAACGAGACAAAGATGGCGGCGGTGGCGCCAGATTTGGAAATAACGCCTTGGGAAATAAATTCACGATTTGAGAGTTTAGATGAGCAAGAACCCTAACCCTAACCCTAAACCTAACCCTAACCATAACCCTAAACCTAACCCTAACCCTAATCCTAACCCTAACCCTAACCCTAATCCTAACCCTAACCCTAACCCTAACGCAAAAAAGGGGCTTGAACGACCGACGGCTACCGTACCTCCAGCCACTGCGTTATAATTACGCTACATAAAAAGTAGACCGATAATTCTGTCCCATATAACCTTTTTTATATTTTGGTGAGGGTTATATTGGGACAGAACGGGGTTCATTGAAATTTCGTGAGATCGCACGAAAAATGCATGCGCTGAGAATGCGGCCCGTACGCCGCTATTAGCGCGGAAAAAAAACCTACCGTTACCGTACCCTTCTACATGGCTTTACCTTGCTACTGATATGTGTATACATTCACTTCAATCGTTATTCACTTCTTAAAAGATTGTTTTTCATAAACACCGCTTCGTTTAACTTTCCTAAATTACAAACAACCATTTACAAACAATCAGACCAATCAGAGCGAGTCTATCAGCCCTCCTGCAGCGCCACAGATACAAGCGAGAACCAGGCTATTGTAAGACTCGCTCTGATTGGTCTGATTGTTTGTAAATGGCGAAGTAACTTAGAAAAGTTAAACGAAGCGGTGTTTATGAAAAACAATCTTTTAAGAAGTGAATAACGATTGAAGTGAATGTATACACATATCAGTAGCAAGGTAAAGCCATGTAGAAGGGAACGGTAGGTTTTTTTTCGCGCCAATAGCGGCGTACGGGCCGCATTCTCAGCGCATGCATTTTGCATGCGATCTCACGAAATTTCAATGAACCCCGTTCTGTCCCAATATAACCCTCACCAAAATATAAAAAAGGTTATATGGAACAGAATTATTCGGTCTACATAAAAAGTTTCATGGTTCAATCACCATTACAAATATTATTAAAAAATGTTTTAAAACTAACGACTACAGTTTGATTACAACGATGGTGGTGCCACTCAAAGCGCACGATCTGATAAGTTGCGCAAAACCACGTTCCAGCCAAGGGCTACAGACCGAGGGTGTTTCTTATTTATTCATTTAAACGCAAAAGGATTGTAATATCTTATAAACGACATAGAGTTTCAGTTATAATATGGATAAATTTGCCCTAAAATGAATATCGTTCGGTTAAATAGCATTTAGGTATAAATATAATTGCACTTTTGTGATTAGCCCTCAGTCTGTAATCTGCAAAATAAATTGTCAAATACGCAACTTTTTTGGGGTGGCAGCACGGTCGCGGGTGTCATGGCGCTGTTCAAATTTCGTAGCATTGATGTGTAATTCATTATAACAATTAAATTAGGTATCTGGTAACAAATACGTGTGGGTATAGACGATTTGTTATACAGTAAGTACAGTTGTATGCAGTAAAATCCTAGAGGCTACTGTCCCTTTAAAGTCCCTTTACTGTCCTTTTAAATAGTGGTAATATATGGGTAAAATGCAAAGTTAATCCGTTTTTTTATTCTAGCGGGTGGCAATGCATTCAATTGCAAGACACCCACTCTGTAAGGCAGTGTTGATCACCACAGTTGGGCTTCGTAGGACTTCCCATGTGGGTTATGCATGGATTCTCCAGAGACAACATTTGCTGAACTGTGCAAATAACCGACAGTGGACTGACATTTCTAATCCTTCATTGTTGTCGCCACATCTCAACAGCACAGCAAAACAACCAAAAAGAGGACTGTGGTGGTGGCTGAACGCGATCTTCAATATGTAAGTGAAGAGTTCCATTCAGTCAAGTGTGTATGCAAGGGTCACTTGCGAGCAATACCAAAAGCGTCCATTATACTAGACAGGTGTCCGCTAGTTGTGGTTTTACTGTGGGGTTCAGCTGCCAACTACTTTTATTTTAACATCAAAGGTTTTCTTTACATACAGGAGTCTGTGTTATTGGCTATAGGTGCATGTATCTGCTAGTTGGGGTTTGGGTGTTTGATTTGCAGTGTCTGGTCATTGTGGGTTGTATTTCTAATTGCAATGAAATTTCAAATGATATATAATGTATGCCACATGCAACTGTTATGTAACCATAGTGGCAAAATCGCTATATCATATTAAAATTTTAAGCAGCATACCTATAGACAGGAAACTCACAAATAGCATGGTATATGTATTGACTACATAATTTTCATTTTTATTCAGGGTATCAAAAGATCGAATCAGGGAGGTTGGGCCTGATAGAGCTTGTGTAGAATGGCTGATGCGTTGTGGGGCATTTGTAAAATTCAAGGACTATGAGCGTTGGCAGACAGACTACAACTCTCTACCTGGTGGTGGGTTTGAAAAGTACAAAATTGAGAAGATAGATGCCACTGATTCAGCTGTGATGAGTGTAGGCTTTCCACATTTAGGTACATATGAAATTCACGCTCACATCATATCGTGAAACCGATGAGATATAAACCGGCTAATTTTATCATCAACAGTGATATTAGTCATCCTGAGAAGCAAAAGTTGAGAACAAAATTAATGAAAGTTTTATTGATTCCAATAGATATTGATATTTTGTAAGTTGCTCACTCATAGCAGAATTCAATCGCTGTTAATTGCTAGATGGCTGCAAGCATGTGAAGTGGATCCGTCTGAAAAGCGCTCGCTCGGTAAATGATGAAGCAATGCAGCAACTACATTACGTAAAGGATACACTGGAGCATTTGGAGGTTGTCAGCTGTGGCAATGTCTCTGACAAGGGGCTGATGGCCTTACAACAATTCAAGTAAGTTAAAGCTTGCACCTTTGTTATTTCTAAATATCCGGCCGAAGCAGGAAGCTCTTCTATGCTGATAACATAATTGCCGTGTTTAGACATTGTACACTATAAAATTCCTAAACTTTGCTCTTTTACTTCTTGTTTGTGCAATTTGTATAAATCCATGCGTGTGTGATGATGATCTAAAATATTCAATTGCTATCATGCCTTTATTGTTTTTACAGGAATCTTAAATATCTTCTCCTGTATGATCTGCCAGAGGTTAAGGACAAGAAGGGATGCCTGAGAATTCTCCAGGATGCTCTCCAAGGGTGTGTGATTGAGTACCCAGAGAACATTGTACGCGGAGAGAGACAGAAAGAAAAGGAAGAAAGGGGCAGCCAAAACCAGGAGTAACTTGTTATGAACCTAACCAAATATTTTTTATTTGTCTTCCTAGTAACAGACAGATGTTTCTATTATTTTGTATTTTGCATTGTAAACTATACAAGAAGTGGATACGTTTCTATTGTGAACTGAATTGATTAATCTGTGGCCAAATATTTGTAAAATAATTAGTGTACAGACAATGTTGGTATGTATTTATTGTGTAGTGCTACTGTAGGCATAGTATTTAATTTTACTGTGTCAGGGTTCTGAACTGTTAAATTTACCTACTCTATGTAGAGGTTTATTATATGAGTCACGCTCATATAATATGAATATGAAGCCTGATATCTCAACGTTGTTTTTGGAGAAGTGTATGTAATCAGAATAAATTAGGAACAGTTTTGTTCGGTTTGTATGATAATATACTTGAGTTCTCTTGTTTTTTTCTCACCATATGTCTGCTAGCTCTAACCCTCACGGTCTCACAATATTGATAACAACACGTATAACCTTTCATTTTTTAGCTCACCTTGACATCGTCAAGCTGAGCTATTGCCATGGGTCGTCGTCCGTCGTACGTCCGTCCGTCCATCCGTCAACATTTGGCTATGGTCAACGATATCTCAGGAACCGTTTGACCGCATGTTTGAAATTGGGTGTAGTTGATACTGCTATGCTCCCATATTAAACGTCCTATTTTGGAGCACGCCAGTTGACGTACTTTCGAGCCACGGCAATTTTTGGCCGAAAATGGGAATTGCCATTAGTCAGTTCAGGTTCAACGGATTTTGCTCATTTTTTGTATGTGAATGAATATGGCCTGGGGTTTTGATATTTAAACAAAAATTATGCAAATTAGGTAGGGTTTGGCAATTATATAGCATATTATATAGACACAAACAGTCTGTGGTGTCACACTCGTCTGGTTCGTTTTACAAGATTTCGTTGACAATATCTTTAATGCAAAATTCCTGCTATGAACATATGATTTATACTATTATTATTATATTATTATTATTATGATATAATGATTTATGCTAAGAGACATCAAAGCGGGTATAGCGCTATCTACCGTCACAAATTGTGATTCATTTTTGTTTATAAATTATTTATAATTTATATATAATATTATTTATTATTTTCACATAAAAAATTACACATAATTATCAAGAGTATATAATGGGAGTTCTCCCATATATACTCTTCGTTTCTATAGTGTACGTCGATGGTTGCTCAATTAAAACTGACTTCTTCTCACTCACTCATTTGTGTCCTTTTTTGTGGTGAGCTACAAAAAAGGCATTAACACTTTCATTCACCTTGCAGTTTGCGTGCGAGTATTTCCTTCTTTTTGAATTACATTGTTAACTGCATGTGCTGCAGTGGAGTCAAAATTTAGGGAGATAGTCTTGAAGCCAATGCACAGAAATCATTTTGTGTCTCATTTTGTATTTTGTCATCAGAAGGCATGTCATTTATGGACGGGTGAATGGGTGAGGGTTTTACCAGTTTTATTTAATTACACGTCTCATAAGTTGCTCCAATACACAGGTAAACTTGATCAGAGATATGATCGGAGATGTATATATATCAGGAGTAGATAATAGGGAATTGGCGGCATGTTGTAGCCGGACCTGTAGAGAAACGTTGAATCTCCATGCCCTGACAAATTTTAAATATCTTCTAGTTTTCCAGTAGAGTTTAGGTAGAAACACATACTGCTGAGCAATTAATATGGAAACTGTTAATCCTTCCACCTCACTTTCGTTTATAACTACAAGGAGTGCAGTTTAATCACCAGAGCCGCCGGAAATGGGGGGAGGGGGGCCGCCCCTCCAATCCAAAAAGTGGGGGGGGGCAAAACCAAAAAGCCCCCCCCCCACCAAAAGAAGAGTGGGAAATAAAAAATAAAATGTATGAGCTAAGACTTGTTAATTCTAACGTTCAAAAACTAATTTATACATTCATTTTAAGTTTTCGCTGCGCGCTTTGCGTGATTGACGCTCACGTCGCATACGCGCTCACGCACACACGTCGCACACACGCGCTGACGCACACACGTCGCACACACGCGTTCATGCACACGTCACACACATGCGCTCACGCACACACGCGCTCACGCACACACGTCGCACATACGCGCTCACGCACACACGTCACACACATGCGCTCACGCACACACGCGCTCACGCACACACGCGCTCACGCACACACGTCGCACATACGCGCTCACGCACCCACGTCGTACACACGCACACACGCCGCACACACGCGCTCACGCACACACGTCACACACACACGCGCTCACGCACACACGTCGCACATACGCGCTCACGCACACACGCCGCACACACGCACACACGCGCTCACGCATACACGCGCTCACGCACACACGCACACACATCACACACACGCGCTCAGCACACATGCGCTCACGCACACACGTCGCACACACGCGCTCACGCACACACGTCGCACATACGCGCTCACGCACCCACGTCGCACACACGCACACACGTCGCACACACGCGCTCACGCACACACGTCACACACACACGCGCTCACGCACACACGTCGCACACACGCGTTCACGCACACACGTCACACACACACGTCGCACACGCACACATGTCGCACACACGCGCTCACGCACACACGTCGCACATACGCGCTCACGCACCCACGTCGCACACACGCACACACGCCGCACACACGCGCTCACGCACACACGTCAAACACACACGCGCTTACGCACACACGTCGCGCACACGCGTTCACGCACACACGTCACACACATGCTTTCACGCACACACGCGCTCACGCACACACGTCGCACACACGCGCTCACGCACACACGTCGCACATACGCGCTCACGCACCCACGTCGCACACACGCACACACGTCGCACACACGCGCTCACGCACACACGGCGCACACACACACGTCGCACACACGCGCTAACGCACACACGTCGTACACGCGCGCTCACGCACACACATAACACACACGCGCTCACGCACACACGT